AGGGTGGAATGAGCAGGGTGAAATGAGCAGGGTGGAATGAGCAGGGTGGAATGAGCAGGGTGGAATGAGCAGGGTGGAATGAGCAGGGTAGAATGAGCAGGGTGGAATGAGCAGGGTAGAATGAGCAGGGTGGAATGAGCAGGGTGGAATGAGCAGGGTGGAATGAGCAGGGTGGAATGAGCAGGGTGGATTGAGCAGGCTGGAATGAGCAGGGTGGAATGAGCAGGGTGGAATGAGCAGGGTGGAATGAGCAGGGTGGAATGAGCAGGGTGGAATGAGCAGGGTGGAATGAGCAGGGTGGAATGAGCAGGTTGGAATGAGCAGGGTGGAATGAGCAGGGTGGATTGAGCAGGGTGGATTGAGCAGGGTGGAATGAGCAGGGTGGATTGAGCAGGGTGGAATGAGCAGGGTGGAATGAGCAGGGTGGAATGAGCAGGGTGGAATGAGCAGGGTGGAATGAGCAGGGTGGGTTGAGCAGGGTGGATTGAGCAGGGTGGAATGAGCAGGGTGGAATGAGCAGGGTGGAATGAGCAGGGTGGAATGAGCAGGGTGGAATGAGCAGGGTGGAATGAGCAGGGTGGAATGAGCAGGGTGGAATGAGCAGGGTGGAATGAGCAGGGTGGAATGAGCAGGGTAGAATGAGCAGGGTGGAATGAGCAGGGTGGAATGAGCAGGGTAGAATGAGCAGGGTGGAATGAGCAGGGTGGAATGAGCAGGGTGGAATGAGCAGGGTGGAATGAGCAGGGTGGAATGAGCAGGGTGGAATGAGCAGGGTGGAATGAGCAGGGTAGAATGAGCAGGGTAGAATGAGCAGGGTGGAATGAGAAGGGTAGAATGAGCAGGGTGGAATGAGCAGGGTGGAATGAGCAGGGTGGAATGAGCAGGGTGGAATGAGCAGGGTGGAATGAGCAGGGTAGAATGAGCAGGGTAGATCGAGCAGGGTGGAATGAGCTGGGTGGAATGAGCAGGGTGGAATGAGCAGGTTGGAATGAGCAGGGTGGAATGAGCAGGGTGGAATGAGCAGGGTAGATTGAGCAGGGTGGAATGAGCAGGGTGGAATGAGCAGGGTGGAATGAGCAGGGTGGAATGAGCAGGGTGGAATGAGCAGGGTGGAATGAGCAGGGTGGAATGAGCAGGGTGGAATGAGCAGGGTGGAATGAGCAGGGTGGAATGAGCAGGGTGGAATGAGCAGGGTGGAATGAGCAGGTTGGAATGAGCAGGGTGGAATGAGCAGGGTGGAATGAGCAGGGTGGAATGAGCAGGGTAGATTGAGCAGTGTGGATTGAGCAGGGTGGAATGAGCAGGGTGGAATGAGCAGGGTGGAATGAGCAGGGTGGATTGAGCAGGGTGGAATAAGCAGGGTGGAATGAGCAGGGTGAATTGAGCAGGGTGGATTGAGCAGGGTGGAATGAGCAGGGTGGAATGAGCAGGGTGGAATGAGCAGGCTGACAGGAGATGAACAAAGGCATTCTTGATGCGCCTCACAAATTGACTTCCTGAAGAACCCTTGGAGTAGCCACAATCCACCAGGAGGTCCATAACGGGTTTCTCGAGTGATTGAATCCCGACAAAAGGTGTAAGACTCACGATCCGAGGCTGCTGTCGGAAACTGCATACACGAAGCCAAAGGACGGTGGGAGTATGGGAGAGAAGAAGGCGGAAAACTAGGGTTCAAAGGAACTCAAAATGGCTCAGAATGGACCCGAGGAAACAATAGGAACAGAAACACGCATTCAAAAGTGGTAGACGAGATGCCAGTGCAAAGGTACACTTAACCTCCTGATTTGTTTCTACAAAATGGACATGCCAGAGGAAGCACTATCAGGGCAGGCGAACACCAAGCAATCATTCCAAGTTCAGCCGCTGCCGCTGCACTGATAGTGATCTCGATTTCGTCAATGTCACGCTGTGAGGCGTCTCAAAAGGAGCCATTATACCAAACCTAGCCGCGGCACAGCACTGGTAGTGTAACTTGTGAATCTCACGCTTCGAGACATCTCAAAACAGGCCATCATACCAAGCTTAGCTGCCGTCGCTGCACTGATAGTGAACTCGGCTTCGTCGCCGTCACGCGACGCGTCTCTAGCTTCCTTGGCTGTCATTGCCTCCACATCCCTTCCGTCAATGGTTCTGTCCCCTGATTCCGTGAATGCGCCTCGTGCTTCCGCCGCCGCGCGTCTCATGGCTAAGTCCGATTCAGTACACCTTTCACTGGGTTCGCTAGAAGCGATTCTAGTTGCAGCAAATTGCTTCGCGAGGTCATTAAACAGGGCATCCGTGAGCGCTGCCAGTGGGGGCACTGGCGTTTCTGTCGAAGCAAATGCGGAAGGCTGGCGCTCGAAAGAAATTGACGCCATTATGGAAAATCAAAGAAGAATTAAAATTGCCTGATGATCACGAGCAGCGTGACGACCCTCCGTTCCGTTCATTGTGGTGGTGCTTTGACCTAAATTGATCCTGGCAAAACCTCGTCAGCCTGACGCTACGTGCTTGAGCAAAGCTTCCCCTCGAAAAGTCTGCTTGGTTGTTGCGAAGAAACACCGGACATTCGTTTCGTTGCGGTCTAGAACGTTCAGAAGCGCATCTACAACGGTTGAGTAGGACATGTGGATGGATATTCCCGTCGAAATAAATTCCCTAGGGGGCTCAGCACCTTCGGTCCCAGACGAGTATACGAGTATACCAACCAGCATAACAGTCTTATAATCGGTAATGTAGTTACAAGGGAAAACGAAACATTAGTTACAAGAGAAACAAAACGTAATAAGGGTACAAGAAGCGCACCTAGTCTCTAAACTCAACCTTTCTCAGCCTCGTTGCATACGCCAACGAGGCAGGTGGCTCAAGAATCTTGTCGCACGATCGCACAATGAGAACTTCTAACGACTTGAGCAGACCCAAATCTTCGGGCAACCCTGTCAATTCCGCACACCCCGAAACCAGCAGGTAGGAGAGAGCCGCCGCTTGGACTAGAGATCCGGGCAGGGCTGCCAGGCCCTTGCAGTTTTCCAATGAAAGTTTTCTTAGAGATGGCATCTGACCGATATTTGCGGGCAGGGAGAATATTAAAGGGCAGGAGGAGATTATGAGTTGCTCCAATGACGTAGAGGTGCAGAGAGAGTTTGGAAGCTCTTTCAGTGCTGTGCAGCGAGACAACTCCAGGCAGGAAAGTTTCTTAAGCTGACCGAGATCTTCAGGCAGCAAAGAAAGGGCAGTGCAGCTGAACAGAACAAGGCAAGAGAGCGAGGGGAGGAGGAGGTGCAGCGAATCAGGAAGGCGTGTCAACTTCTTGCAGAACGCAACCCTCATTTCCTGCAGCTTTGCCAACTGGCACACGGCCACTTGGTCTGACACCTGGCAAGGCGCCAGCTGGCGTGAGGGACAGCTGGAAGTGGGAGAGAGCAAGGGACAGCTGGCGATAAAAACGTTCGTCGTGCAAGGGTGGTGGTTGAAGGCAGGGAAAGGGAGGGAGAGGAGGGAGGAGAAGCGGCGAATGGAGAGCGTTTGGAGGCTGGTGAGGCGGGAGAGGGAGGAGGGGAGGGCTGAGATGTTGCTGCTGCGGGCTAGCTCAATGTGAGTGAGGGACGGTGGGAGGAAGAGAGGTGCGGTTGTTGCATCCAAATTTCTTGGACCAGGATCAGCAGGAATGGAATCAAGAGTGGCAGGAAGTGGGGGGTTTTGAGCAGCAGTAGCAGCAGCAGGAGGAAAATCCGGAGCAGCGGGAGCAGCGGGAGTGGCTGTAGCAGTTGTAGCGCCCATATCCAGTAGCAGTTGGTCTAAACACGGAAAGTGATCCAACACGAGGTGCATCAAACGAGGCTGCTGCTGCAACAGCAGTCTTGGCACATTTGCAAGCGATTTGCAACCCTTCAATATAAGAACCTCCAGGTTTCGCAGATCTTGTGCAGAGGAGGGTAAGGCGGTCAGCTTGGCGAGTTTTAAGAGCTCGAGATGGGTCAAGGAGGACAGGTTTCCTAACGCTGTAGGGAGACACTCTATACTGAAGCATTTTTTGAGAGAGATGAGTTTCAGGTTGGGTAGAGAGCAGATGGAATCTGGAAGGTGGCTGATTTTTAGACAGTCAGTCAGTCTCAGCTCCTCTAGTTTCTGCAGCTGCCCGATTTCTTCGGGCAGGTTCTTGAGCCAATTGCAGATGCTCAGGTCAAGGGAATGAAGGTTTTGGAGGGAGGAGACGGACGATGGGAAGGTGTCTAGCCAATAGGCATGCCGCAATTCAAGCTTGCGAAGACCGGGCAGCCTGCAGAAAGAATCAGGTAGGTCTGTCGAAAAGGACCCCCCAGCTAGCGTGAACGTTTGCAAAGCTTTCAACTGCATGAAATTCTGGGGCAGGTCGAAGAGATTGGAGCAATGGGAGACGTTCAGGGTAGTGAGAGCGGGCAGTTGGGTGAGAGATTCGGGCAGCTGAGGAAGACTGGAGCAATAAACCAGCTCCAGCTTTGTCAGGGACGACAGCTGCCCGATAGATTCGGGCAGTGCGCTAAGTTTCCAGCACCAAAGGGAGAGCTCTTGCAAGCAGGATAGGGAGCTTAGATTCTCAGGGAATTCAAGCAGACAGCTGGACTGAATGTGCAGTAAACGAAGGGAGGAGAGGACTGTAAGGGAAGATGGCATGACTGTGATTTTATTGATGCATCCGTCCAGATACACCTCCCTCAGTTGCGACCTGAACGCCTGAAAAAACGCGTTAAGTTCTGATTCGCTGATGGATAGATGTGGAGATGTGAGCGGGGAAAACGTAATGGAGGCTAGAGCTGGGCAGGCGAGCGGGAGGCGGGAGAGGAAGCTTCCTTGGTAGGCTTCTAAGCAGTTGGGTGACGTCGCAAGGCGACTGAGATAAGGGAATCTGGATAGGTATTTAAGGAGGTAAGCGATTCTATTGGGACGTTCTAGGTTGCTGTAGTTGAATCTTGAATTGTCGTTGCCTCTAAAATTGTCGTGAACGGTACCCGTGCTGCTGCTGGTGCTGCCGCTGGTGCCTATTATAGTGCTGCTGCTGCTGCTGCTGCTGCTGCTGGTGGTGGTTCTGCTGATTCCGCTGACATTGCGGCCGACGCTTCTGCACGGAGGAGGCGGCTTCTGAGCGCCGAGAGAGGCGAAGAACGCGGAGGGAATGGAGGTTTGAATGAGACAAGCGAGGCGAAGCCATCGCTTGCAAACAAGCGAAAGACGAAGCGGGGGAGAGTCGTTGACGGAAGCTAGACGGAGGACGGAGCTCAGGAGGTCATCTGATAAGCGGTCGACTGGCGGAGACGCCGCGTCAGGAGATGTCAGCATATCGTCTGGCAAACAGCTGGAAGCAACGGTCGAGGATCCGTCTAACGACGTATCGGAATAACACGGCATCTCTGATTTAAAAGGATAACCGGGTGCGAGAGCTAACTGAAGTAACTGAAGGATGCGAAACGGGCGGGAGGGAGGTAACCGAGGTATTGATGTGAGAAGACTAACTAATAGTAGCTAACCTAGGTGGTGATTAGACGGGGAAGGTATGGTTAGAGCAGACCGCGCTTGGTGTGACAGGAACGAGGAAATCGCGTGTCATACGAACTCATTTAGAACTGGAGAGAGTTCTGTCAGGTTTCCTAACTCTCGGTGTCAGAAAAGGCTCGTTGCTTGTCTGCACCTCAGTCACAGACTCCACCATTATATTGGGAATACGCCCTGAGTGCAGAAAGACCAGGGACGACTGACCACACTCAAGTAAACATGAAATCGGCCGACATTATTGATGTACAAAAGACGGACTGGACACATTCTCACATTTCCTTACGCAATATTCTCAAGGGTAACTCTAGTAACTAAACCATTTCACCCAGCATGATTCATACTGAATAAGCGTTTTATTTACCACTGCAAAAAACTCCACGCACATCAGTGCCAGCACCAGACCCAACATCATTCATTCCCGACTGCAGGGGTCCGACTCCCACTCCGCCACCCGGCAAACGACAGCTGCCCTTCAAGCGTGGGGGAATCATCCACTGACGCTCCGAGAGGAGAGAAGACGGCCGACTCGCACCGCCGAACCAGCGGATCAGATGTCACCAGCACATCACGTGCAAGCACTGCCGGCTTGCGCATAGAACTAGCAGCAGCGCTGCTGCCACCAGCAGCACCAGCAGCAGTGGCAGCAGCAGCCACAGCAGCAGCCATAGCAGCAGTGGCAGCAGCACTAGCAGACCCATCAGCAGGGATATTGCCATCAGCTGTAGCAACTCCTCTCTCTGCCCTCACTCCCCGTCCTCCTCGCCCTCTGCTCCTCCCTGTCCTGTACCCTCCCCCTCCTCCTCCCTTTCCACCGCCTCCTGCTGCCCCTCCTCCTCCTCCCCTCCGCCTCTCCTCCCTCTCCCTCCTCCTCTCCTCCCTCCCATCCACTTCCCCCACCGCCAAACCTGCCATCCCAGCCATGGCAGGCGAGCTCCTCGACCTATCAAACTCCGCCACGCGGGCACGCAGGTTCGGCGACCGGTTCGGCGACAGGTTCGGCATGAGGTGCAGCTTCGGCAGATCGACCCTGAGCCTCCGCATCACATATGCTAATAGCTCCTCTTTATGTGCAAACGTGAAGTCCAGATGTGCATACTCAAACTCCCGGTACGACGCCTGCCGCCCGGCGGCCTTCAGCGTCTTGTAGTGCCAGTGGACCATCTCCCGGGGAATAAGACGGTCGCGCCGCCCGGCGACAACATCAATGGGGATATCAATAAGACGGTAATACGCTCCAATGTCGACTGCTTCGGGGGAACCGTACACTGCGAGGTTAGCTGCGGGGGAGCCGTAATCGAACATGATGAATCGGCGCTCGCGCTTGGTGAGAGCGAGGTGCTTCATGACGTTGTAGGCTATGCCAGGCATGTTGTACATGTTGTAATGGGGTTGCCTCAAAGCGCCCACCCAGTCGGACGAATCTCCCCCCACTATGATGTTCGAGATCAGAACCTGGAGCAAGAAAAAGGGGGGAGAGAGGCGGAAAGAAAGAGCTGCAGAGATCAGCAGCGGTAGCAGTTGCTGGCGGTGAGCCGTAATCGAACATGATGAATCGGCGTTCGCGCTTGGTGAGAGCGAGGTGCTTCATGACGTTGTAGGTGATGCCAGGCATGTTGTACATGTTGTAGTGCAGCTGGCGCAGCGCTCCCACCCAGTCAGAGGAATCCCCCCTACGATGATATTGGAGATGAGCACCTGTGTGTTGGACGTGGGATAAGGGAGACAGGAGGAGGGAGAAGGGAAAGCGAGGTGCTTCATGACGTTGTATGCGATGCCAGGCATGTTGTACATGTTGTAGTGCGGCTGGCGTAGGGCTCCCACCCAGTCAGGGAGTCCCCTCCCACAATGATGTTCAAGATCAGCACCTCTGACAGTTGGGGAGGAGAGAGAGAGTAAGAGAGAAATGGTATCCAGGGCATGTTGTACATGTAAAAGAGCAGGCGCAGGCCCTGGGTGGGGATGTAGATGGCCAGCACATATATCAATTTACACAGGCACAGCCACTCCGCCACGCACCCACACACAGCCACATACACAAATGTATCCATGCACAGCCACACACACACAGCCACACACACACAGCCACACACACACAGCCACACACACCTGCACCAGACACCTCAACGCGGGGAGGTTCTGAAAGTCCTGGGCTAGATTGTAGAAGGCAGGCGCAGGCCTTGGGTGTTTGTTTTTGTCAACTAAAAAAACTAGCCCTGGGTGGGGATGTAGACGGCTGGCAAACAACCACACTGCACTGCACATGCCCTCACCCACACATATCTGCACACTCACACCCACACACGAATACACCTGCAACAGCCATACCTGCACCAGGCACCTCAAGGCAGGGAGGTTCTGAAAGTCCTGTGCTAGCTTGTTGAAGAGCAGACGCAAGCCGTGGGTGGGGATGTAGACTGCTGGCACACACATCTATGATACACAGGCACACGCATAGATGTACCCATGCACACACATACACACACCTGAACCAGGCAGCGCGGTGACTTTTGAGTCGACTCAAAAGTCACATACACACACCTGAACCAGGCAGCGCAATGCAGGCAGGTTTTGAAAGTCCTGAGCTAGCTTGTTGAAGAGCAGACGCAGGCCCTGCGTTGGGATGTAGACGGCTGGTACGGAGTGGGAGAGCCACGAGTCGACGTATGGCATGAGGAAGAGCATCACATCGAATAGGAGGGGGGTCTTCTCGTGGTAGCCTGTGGGGAGTGGGGGGGAAGGGAGGATTGACAGGAAAACGGGAGGCACATAGCGGTGTGAGCACGGAATGGGAGAGCCACGAGTCGACGTATGGCATGGGGGAGAGCACTACGTCAAAGAGGAGAGGAGTCTTTTCATGGTAGCCTGTGGGGAGAAGGAGGGATGGATGGGGAGGAATGGCAGGGAGGGGCACGATGGAGGGAGGGAAGGGGGCTGGACGAGAGGGTGGAAGCGGTTGAGACGAAGAGGGTGAGACGACAAATGGGTGGGTCCGAGAGGGGGGAAGCGGTTGAGACGACGAGAGGTGAGACGAAGAGGGTGACACGACGAGAGGTGAGACGACGAGGGTCAGACGACGAGAGGTGAGACGACGAGGGTCAGACGACGAGAGGTGAGACGACGAGGGTCAGACGACAAATGGGTGGGTCTGACTGCTTATTCAACCAGCAGCAGTGAGACTCCTTATCCAATCAGCAGTGGATCCTAGAGGGGTCTCGAAGAGGGTGAGACGACAAGAGGTGAGACGACAAATGGGTGGGTCTGACTCCTTATCCAATCAGCAGTGGATCCTAGAGGGGTCTCACCGGCAGGTGAACTCAACGGCGGGGGAGAGGAGAATGAGAGGAATGGCACTCACCAGCGGGGGAGAGGAGGATGAGGCGGGAGAGGCGGTGGGGCTGTTTCCGGATTAGCTGGGTGACGAGGTAGATCATCAGGGCTGCCCCTCCCAGGCTGTGCGCCACTGCCTGCAGATGGTACGGCTGCTCCTCACTCCATGGTACCCCCTGCTGCTGCCCCTGCTGCTCCCCTTGCTGTTGCCCCTGCTGCTGCCCCTGCTGCTGCCCCTGCTGCCCCTGCTGCTGTTGCTGCTTCTGATCTGAAGCCTCTGCAGCACTTGTTGCTGCTGTTCCTGCTGCTGCTGCTGCTGCTGTCTCCCCATCCCTTCTATCCCCCTCCCTCTCCGCCTCCCTCATCTCCTCCTCTCGCCTCTCCCTCAGAGCATCTATCAGCGACACAGGAGCAGGCCTCACCTCGTGCCACCCTGGCTGCCACGTCATCACGCCATCCTGCATCGTCTGGCTGCCAGGTGTCCACCCAGAACCACCTGTACCCGATTGTGGCTTGTCCCGATACAGCGTATCAGCACCTCCTGCTGCTACTCCTGTATCGAAACCGTGACTATGTACAGCAGGCCCAGGGTGCAAGGATGAATCACTGTGTACAAGGCCCAGGGCATCTAATGCTCCTGAAGGGCTAGGCTGCCGCCACTGGTGGTGCTCCTGGCTCTGCTGGGGGTTCACGGCTTGCTGCTGCTGCTGCTGCTGCTGCTGCTGCTTCTGCTGCTGCTGAGGTGGGACGAGAGAGGGACGGGGAGGAGGGGCGAGGTCGCGGATCTTGGTGTGGTGGATGCAGTCTATCATGGCTCGTATGTCACACATGCCATGCTCGTTCACGCTGTAGCTCCAGTACCTGGTGTGGAAGAGAGGGGGAAAAGAGAGGAAAGAGAGGGGGCAGGAGGCACGGAATTGGTATTTTGGTGTGATGGTTGCAATCGATCGTTGCTCGGACGTCACATTTTTTATTCGACTCAAAAAGGGAGAGCATGCATGTGTGTCGGTGTGTGGAGTATTTTTGAGAATTCTCAGCCACGAAGTTAGGCGAGCAGCTGTCTACATCGCCAAGGGAGAGCATGCATGTGTGTCGGTGTGTGGTGGATGCAGTCTATCACTGCTCGAATGTCACACATGCCGTGCTCGTTCACGCTGTAGCTCCAGTACCTGAGGTAGGGGAAGGGAGTGAACAGCCAAGTATCAGAATCGTCTCTGGCACAGAGTAACAGACACTATTCTAAATGAGGATACACATGATCAGATGTTGAAGTTTTATGCTCATGCTCGTGCTCGTGATTTCGTGATTACGTGATGTCGTGATTTCGTCCACTCCACCACCCACGCACCTGCTGGCAGAGATGCGCAGATCCACGTGCTGCCTCGTGACATAGCCCCGCATGTTGCTCTCAACACATGACCTCACATGCAGCCCACTCGTCCCCCACCCACCCCACCTGCTGGCAGAGATGCGCAGATCCACGTGCTGCCTCGTGACATAGCCCCGCATGTTGCTCTCAACACATGACCTCACATGCAGCCCACTCGTCCCCCACCCACCCCACCTGCTGGCAGAGATGCGCAGATCCACGTGCTGCCTCGTGACATAGCCCCGCATGTTGCTCTCAACACATGACCTCACATGCAGCCCACTCGTCCCCCACCCACCCCACCTGCTGGCAGAGATGCGCAGATCCACGTGCTGCCTCGTGACATAGCCCCGCATGTTGCTCTCAACACATGACCTCACATGCAGCCCACTCGTCCCCCACCCACCCCACCTGCTGGCAGAGATGCGCAGATCCACGTGCTGCCTCGTGACATAGCCCCGCATGTTGCCCAGAAACACGTCGAAGCCTGGAAGTTGGAGGGAAACAAGAGAAAGGAGAAGCCAGGGTAAAGATGGGAAGGGAAGGGAATTGAAGGAAAGGGAAGGGAATTCAAGGGAAGGGAATGGAATTGAAGGGAAGGGAAGGGAATGGAAGTGAAGGGAAGGGAATTGAAGGGAAGGGAAGGGAAGGGAAGGGAAGAGAAGGGAAAGGACAGGACCGAAAAGTGGGTGGGGAAGAGACAGGGGCGGGGACATGAATGGGAAGAGGATCAGAAAAAGTAAGAAAAACAAAACTACGAGCAAAAAAAAAAAAACACACGGGAAAGTGAGAATGAAACACGCTGGCGGCGCCTCTCACTCACCTTGGTCGTAGGCTGCGAATGCTTGAGATCCCACCACACCATTGGAAACCCACCTGTGAAGAAACATGTGAGAAGAAACAAGCAGGATCATAAGACACGCGAAGCACACACAAACCAGGTCTTGAGCCACTTGCACTCATAACCAAAGCACCCACCCACGCGAGATTTAGACATATCTCAGTGAGCTGCGTGCGTGTAGCAGGCTTAAAGCAAATCACAAACCAGGTCTTGAGCCACTTGCACTCATAACCAGAGCACCCACCCACCGGTCCCCCCTGGCACTCACCTGATGCTTTCACTCAATGCTCCTCCCCTTCCCCCCCTCACCCAATGGAGCTGTCGAGAATGCCATGCTGCAGAAGCACCACCCTGGATGAGTCTTTTCCTCAAAATGAAAACCCCAAGCACTCAACATGCACTCACACATTGCATCCCTGGTCCCCGTGCTAACGCTCACCCAATGGAGCTGTCTAGAATGCCGTGCTGCAGGAACACCACCCTCAAAGAGTCCTTCCTTGGGATTCGCTCCAACGTGAGCACATACCCATCCTCTGTCACCACCTTGATGGCCTCGTACGGGTACCTGGTGTGCGCATAGGAGCAAGGAGGAACAAAACAGAGGTACATGAAGAATATGCAAGCCTGCATGTTCGAGTTTGAGCCTTTCCTTAATGGAGAATATAGCATGGATGTGAGTATGTGTCCTTCTTCTCAGGGTGCGCTCCAGACTGAGCAGTGAGCACGTACCCATCCTCGGTCACCACCTTGATGGCCTCGTACAGTTCCTGGTGGGAAGATGGGAAAGGTGCCATGTAGAGGAGAAATGAGCGCAAGTGGACACATGTACTTGGGTCTGTCTGTACTTGGTTGGGGGTTCTTCTCACTCCAGTGTGAGCACATACCCATCCTCGGTCACCACCTTAATGGCCTCGTAGGGGTACCTGTTGTGGGGAGAGGAGAGTGGAGTGGCATGCATGAATGCAGGAGTTGAGGGTGCATATACTTCTAATTCTATCCAGTGTGCTTATGGGCCACTGCGCTCCAGTGTGAGCACGTACCCGTCCTCAGTTACCACCTTGATGGCCTCGTAGGAGTACCTGGTGGGGGAAGAGAGAGGTATGAGTGCATGAGTGCATGAGATGAGAGTATGGGTCCTTCTCGGGATTCGCTCTAGTGTGAGCACGTACCACCTTGATGGCCTCGTAGGGGTACCTGACGGGGGAGGAAAGGTGTGGGTGAAGAAAAGGGGGGTGTGAGCGCACGGGTTCACGGGGATTCTCTCTCCGATGCGCTCCAGTGTGAGCACGTACCCGTCCTCAGCCACCACCTTGATGGCCTCGTAGGGGTACCTGGTGGGGCGGTACGAGCAAGGAGGAAAACAGAAGACATGTGAGTGTATGCAAGCCTGCTTGCAAAAGTAGTTGTACAATGGTGACTACAAGCTATCCAGCTCTCACCCAGCGTCCCTAATGATATCTTCACACGTCCGTCCATCCATGAGCCGTGGCCGATGCAGTGACTCAGCCCGCCTTTTAAGATGCCTCACTCGTAGACAACGACAACAAATAACAACCGCCACGTCACAACGACAAGCTATCCAGCACTCACCCAGCGTCTCGAATGATATCTTCACACGTCCGGGCGTCCATGAGCCGCGGCCCATGCAGCGCCTCAGCGAGACTGCCGTTTGGTTACAAGGACGACTCCTAACAGGTACAATATACCACCAAGCCCATTCTCACCCAGCATCTCGGATGATATCTTCACACGTCCGTGCGTCCATGAGTCGCGGTCCATGCAGCGCCTCAGCTTGCCGCAGCCGCTGCTGCTGCTGCCACCGGCTCTGCCCCTGCTGCTGCTCGTTCTGCTGCTGCTGCCGCTCGTGCTCCTCCTGCTGCTGCATCTGCAGCTGCGACAGGTGCGCCGCCGACCTACTCTCGGGTGCCACATCTGCTGCTGGTGCACTGAACGCAGCAGCACCCCAACCCCCACTGGCATCAGCACCACCAGCAGCAGCCCCCCCAGCAGCAGATGCGGCAGCTTCAGGTGAGGGTTGAAGGCCCTGTGAGGGCGCCACTGGGAGGCCTAGGAGGCGCAGCAGCGGAGTGAAGAGGAAGGAGAGGAGCCGCCAGGGGAAGAGGCAGAAGAGCAGCACCGACCGCACGGCGTCAAAGAAGCGCTCAATCACGAGCTCCCAGAAGAGCTGCAGATCCTCCAACACGCCATGCCTGCATGGGCCATACCAAAAGAAAGAAACGGTAAGGAGCTGAAGAGGAAGGATAGGAGCCGCCAGGGGAAGAGGCAGAAGAGCGGCACTGACCGCACGGCATCAAAGAAGCGCTCAATCACGAGCTCCCAGAAGAGCTGCAGATCCTCCAACACCCCGTGCCTGCACAGACAGAAGAGGTGGGGGGTACAGTACGGTGAGGAGATGGATCATTCGCCTGCAGTTAAGACCAGCTCCCTCTAAACGAGACGACCACACGGCATCACAGAAGCGCTCGATGACCAGCTCCCAGAAGAGCTGTAGATCCTCCAACACCCCGTGCCTGCACAAACCATACATATCACACAAAGGCGCAGCAGCGGAGTGAAGAGGAAGGAGAGGAGACTCCAGGGGAAGAGGCAGAAGAGCAGCACCGACCAATCACCAGCTCCCAGAAAAGCTGTAGATCCTCCAACACACCATGCCTGCATGGGCCATACATATTATACAAAGGAGCAGGAGTGGAGTGAAGCACCGAGCGCACGGCATCAAAGAAGCGCTGAATGACCAGCTCCCAGAAGAGCTGCAAGTCCTCCAACACGCCGTGCCTGCAGAGATATTCGTGTGGCTTTTGAGAATTCTCAAAAGCCAAGTCCTCCAACACGCCGTGCCTGCAGAGATAGAATAAAAGAGGGCATGTGCAGTGCAGCAGGTAGGTTGTAAATCATCTACTCAATCACGTGCTTGCAAATGAAACCACCGACCGCACGGCGTCAAAGAAGCACTCGATCACCAGCTCCCAGAAGAGCTGTAGATCCTCCAACACGCCATGCCTACACAGACAGAGGTGGGGGGTGGTCATTCGTATGAATTTAGGACCAGTCCCTCCGACCGCACGGCGCCAAAGAAAGCGCCCAATAATGAGCTCCCAGAAGAGCTGCAGGTCCTCCAACACCCCGTGCCTGCACAGACAGACAGCCACAGTAGAGGTGGGTGGTACAGTGAGGAGGAGGTGAGGAGGTGGGTCGTTCGCCTGCTATACTATAATGACCAGGCCCCAGGTCCCTCCGACCGACACACGGTGTCACAGAACCACCGCTCGATGACCAGCTCCCAGATCCGCACTCGCGATCTATACCCGTTCAGACGAATCAAGGGCATAAATACACAGACGCTCCAGGGCATGAACACACAGACGCTACACACTACCTGCGGAAATCATTCAGGTGGTTCATGTTGAGGTGCGTCATATGCTCAAACACGTCCCCCAGTCGCTTCCCCAGATCCGCACTCGCGATCGACACGCATTCAGTTGACTCAAGGGCATACATGCACAGATGTGCACACACATGTACCTGCGGAAGTCATTCAGGTGGTTCATGTTGAGGTGCGTCATATACTCAAACACATCCACCAGTCGCTTCCCCAGATCTGCACTCGCGACCGACAGCCTTTCAGTCGAATCAAGGGCATACATACATAGAAGCTACACAATACCTGCGGAAGTCATTCAGGTGGTTCATGTTGAGGTGCGTCATATACTCAAACACGTCCCCCAGTCGCTTCCCCAGATCCGCACTCGCGATCGACAACCTTTCAGTCGAATCAAGGGCATACATACACTCCAGGGCATGGTCACACAGACGCTACATCCTACCTGCGGAAATCATTCAGGTGGTTCATGTTGAGATGCGTCATGTACTCAAACACGTCCCCCAGTCGCTTCCCCAGATCCACACTCGCGATCGACAGCTGGCGCGAGAGACTGCTGGAGCTGCTGCTGCGGCTGTGCGGGCCGAACCTAGGGCTGAAGATCGGGTAACCAGGCCAGGCCTGGACGGGGGTGGCAGGAGGGGAGGCAGTAGTACTATCAACGGCAGTTGGAGCAAGCGTATCAGCATCAGCAGCAGCAGCAGCAGCAGCAGCAGCATCATCAGCAGCGGCGGTGCCTGCTCCTCTGGCTTTGTACATGTCTGGTGCTGCTGCTGTTGCTGCAGCTGCGGCTGCTCCTTCCGAGGATACTGCTGCTAGTGCCCCAGCAGCAGCTGCTGCAGCAGCAGCGGAGGCGGCGGCAGCAGCAGCAGCGGCAGCGGCAGTGGTGGCGGGAGCAGAAGAGAGGGTGGGCGTACTATGGGAAGAGGGGGAGGGGGTTTGGGGTGAGGCCGAGGGGTCGAAGGAGGAGAAAGACGGGGGATGGGGCATCTGGCGACGAATGGTAGGATCTACGGTGCTGGAAGGCCTGCCTCGATCATCCAACGGCTGTTGTTGATTGAGTTGATGGTGGTTCCCTAGATGCTGCTGCTGCTGTTGCTGCTGATGTTGCTGCTGCTGTTCCTGGTGGTGATGTGGCTGCTGATGCTGATGCTGCTGCTGCTGATGGTGGTGGTGGTAGTGGTGGTGGTGGTGGTGTTGCTTACCATGCCCATCCGTAACCCTGAACCCAAACACCCACAGCAGCGGCCACAGGAAAAACAAAACCCACCTCCACAGCCATCCCCAAATCCCTGTAGCATCCCCCACTCCATTCCTCTTCCCAACCCCACTCCTCTCCCTCAAAAACGGACTAGGCGATCTGCTTCTGTCAAAGCTGCTGCTGCTGCGACTAAGGGGACTCGCAGGCAGAGAGTCAAACGCACCCCTCCTTCCTCCTCCTCCACCTCCACCCATGCCCCTCCTCCTCCTCCTTGCTGTTCCCCCTCCTCCCCTGCTGCTACTGCTGCTACCAATGCTGTGCATCGACGCCCTGTCGTCGTCGTCATCCTCGTTATTGTCCTCCTCGCTATCCGCGTCGCTGTCCTCGTTTTCGTCGTCCCCGTTACCGTAGTTGGAGCTGGAGTCGAGGTGAAACTCGTCTATAGTGTCGACGAACTCGTGTAGAAAAGCATTCAAAGAGGAACCACCCCTGTTGGAAGGCAAGGGAAGAGCAAGACAGAAGAGGGAACAGAAGAGCAGGGAAGTGGAGAGCAGAGACCAGGGGAAGAGACAGAGTGGGAAACGGATGAAACGCGTTCAGGGAGGAACCACCTCTGTCTGTTTGGAGTGGAAGGAGGAGCAGACCAGGGAAGAGAGAGATAGAATAGGATACGGATGAGTAAGAAACACGGAGGAAAAGGGAGCGGAAACCTGAGTAGGAGAATGGAAAAAACCAAGAGCAAGGACGCAAATGCAGGGTAACGGAATCCCACTAGAGAGTATTTATCATATCTCCAAATCCCAATCACCACAGCAGCGCAGCTGCACTGTAACGTACTGCGCCATCCAGGCGGGCAGGCAAAGGGAGCGAAGGGCAGGAAGAAAAAGAGTACCTTCTGTCTAATCTAAATCCACCCTCCCCACCCCCTCTCCCCCCCTCCCCACCCCCTTTCCTCCCCAGCTACAATACAGCGTACTGGGCCATCCAGGCGGGGAGGCGGGGGGAGCGGAAGGTGGGGCGGAGGTCCCAGGAGCCATGGAGCCCTTCGGTGATGGGCGACTTGTTGGGCAGACACGCCAGCACCAGCGCTGTCGGCCACGCCATTCACTCACCCATCCATCATGCACCTGAACCCACGTATGCACTGTGCCATACCACCCAGGCGGGGAGGCGAGGGGGAAGCGGACGGCAGGACAAAGAGAACCTTCCCTTCCCTCTGCAATGAATCTCTTTCCCCCCCCTCCCCAGCAACTATGAATGAAACGTACTGGGCCATCCAGGCGGGGAGGCGGGGGGAGCGGAAGGTGGGGCGGAGGTCCCAGGAGCCATGGAGCCCTTCGGTGATGGGCGACTTGTTGGGCAGACACGCCAGCACCAGCGCTGACGCCGAGTTGACTCGCCCATCCATCCATCACGCACCTGAACCCACGTATGCACTGAGCCATGCCAGGTGCGGGTAGCGGATAGCAGGGCAAGAGTACCTTCTACCTTCCATTTCCTCTGCTGTAACGCTCTTCCCCCTTCCCCCCCAACACCCCCAGCTACAATACAACGTACTGGGCCATCCAGGCGGGGAGGCGCGGCGAGCGGAAGGTGGGGCGGAGGTCCCAGGAGCCATGGAGCCCTTCGGTGATGGGCGACTTGTTGGGCAGACACGCCAGCACCAGCGCTGACGCCGAGTTGACAAAGTTGGCCGTGTTGTGGAACGCCTCGCGAGATGCGGCTTTGACGGACCTGTAAACGTTGACAGAAAACGTGACAGAAAACGCGATGGACGGAAAAAAACACGAGTTCGGGTAGAGACCAGGTAGAGTGATTGCGCACCCACGACTTATTCAGATTTTTTTTTCCAAGGCGCCTCAAGATAGCCAGATGCAATTGGAGTCTGGACGTATCCTGGACTCGGGACGGATACGTGACGGATTCCGTTTTCAGACCTCTGGATCGACTCTGTAACCTGACATCCATTTCTTGCGGATGATCAAAACAGAGAATCCCTGATGCCAAGGCTTTGGAACAGATGACATACGGTGGAGATGGATTAAAAACGGTATCTTTGGGACTCCAAAAACTACTACAAACAGATGTCTGGATCCCATGCCGCGAAGCTCGAAACAAGAGAACGAGGAAACGGAAACGAGGAAGAAAGAAAGTGATACCATGAGGACGACACAAAAGAAACTGGATGTAACAGTTTCACACGAATTCTTTCCTCTGCCTCGCAGCGGCTCTGACGGTCTTCTGAGACGCCTCAAATGCAACAGACTCAAAGCAAACGCGGAATCTGAGTCAAGACAAAGAAAGGGCTCTAACGGCGTGATGTGGGTACGGATTCAAGCTGAACCTACTCCTTGGCCACCCCCACGGCGTGGTCCACTATCCTCTGCATCCTTTTGAGTCGACTCAAAAGTTAGTTCCCACGCGCAAGAACTCTAACGGCATGAGTTGAATGAGGACCAAAACGGAACTTACTCCTTCGCCACCCCGACGGCGTGATCCACTATCCTCTGCATCCTTCCCTGCTGAGAGACAACTCCTGATGCCAGGCAACCAGGAAGTAAACGAAGCTGACCTTCGGCCTACAGTTTAGCGACTAAGTCGACTAAGTGAATTAATGAAACACGGGCGGTATCATCGTAGCACTCTGACCATTGTTCCTAAATGAGAAGCTCTAAACGGCTTCCGGCCTACGCGCTGATAGATCCCTGTATGGCAGCTTCCAGCGAGACACGCGAGACAAGACGTCGTCCGGTGCTCAGCTATTGTCGGTTCTAAGAGAATTGCGGAATTACGGAGATGGCTCCGTCCCGTGATCAAGATGCGGGAAACGCGTCTTGAAGGGAGTTCCTAAGGCTGGCTGGCTGGAATGATCGCCTCGCCTCATCATCACCACCTCCAAAAGGTCCTCCTCACTGACTGGATCACTCAACGGACGAGGCTGGTCGCGTTTGTGTCTCGACTCGACAGTGTAGGTCCTATTCAGAACATTGTGACGTCACTTTTCGAATTCGAAGGTCTCGAGGAACTGCAGTCTGGTAGGTTTGCTCTTGAGTTTGTTTGGCAATCAAGAAGGGTCGTACCCTCCACTCAACAGAATACACAAATTGCTCCTCGGTTCGATCCGAGCGAACATGAACAATGAAACACCCCCTTCTCCGGACCAGCATTACCTAGCTTCCAGAAGGTTTGGTTTTACCCGAGCCTGCGTCTTCGCCTTTTGTTCTCCAGCTAAGCCAAACGTGACCTACACATCACACTGGACCGTCGCCAGCAGGGCTGGTTCGGCATGCACGAGAGAGGTGCGGCGAAAAATGGTTGTGCGCGCTGGCGCTGACATGGATGTTGCGGAGACAAGCTGTCGATACTCTGATCTGGCACAATGCTATCCCCGATATGAGACGCCTTTTTGAATTCAAACATCAGCGAGTGTATCCATTTGAAAATCGTTTCTGTTACAGAGGGCGTTGGATCCGTCCAGTTTTCACAGGCAGATCCTCGTCAGTATCAGGGCACTTCAAGCATAGCATGGCGAAGCGCCCTGGTAGCCCTGCCATTTATAATCGCCAGTCCAACTTATTACCTAAGTTCGATTCGCGTGTAACTTCTCCTCTACCGCGTAAGTAAGCCCACGTTCCTACAGGCCGTCGGTTTCTTGCTTGAATTCAGCCTTCACTCAGACATCCGTGCCATTCGCACATTGCAAGCCAACAGTAGCTTGTGACAGTAACTACCTGTGACAATAACGGAGGGTTAGGAGCAACCATGTCGAGCATATACGTGCTCGAGCCGCCGACGCAAGGCAAGGTGGTGGTTACCACCACGTTGGGCGATCTCGATATCGAGCTCTGGCCTCGTGAAGCCCCGAAAGCGGTGAGATTTTCCTTTCCCTGCAGCAAAATCCTGGTAACCAGTAACACTCCGGCATTGGGTGGTTACCATCAGCACCTTGGGTGAGCGTGAAGCCGCCAAACGCGGTGAAATTTCGGCTTCCCGGCAACGCTAATGTGGTAACCAGCACTGCTGTAGCGCAGTACCGATGTGGTAACCAGTACCATTGTAACAGCTGTTGGTTACCATCACTGTAGTAACCACAACCAGTGCCTCGGGTGACCTGACCTTGATATGTCCTTGCTTACTCGTAAAGCAAAGCAAGCAGCATTCAGATTCCTCCATCCATCACAGTGACCATAAGAAACTGTAAGACCGCCTTGTGCGACCTTGATATTGAACTGGCAGGGTGATTGAAATGCGATCACGTGAAGCCCCAGAGTGCTGAGTATAATTCCATCTTTTTCCTCCTTGTTCCACCTTCCGCCTCTCTGCCTCTCACCCCCCATCACCTCATCACTCTTCATCTCCCCTCATCATCACTCATCCCTTCCCAATCATCCCCCTGTCAGGTGCGAAATTTCGTGCAGCTGTGTCTGGAGGGGTATTACGACAAAACCATCTTTCACCGCATCATAACTGGCTTCATGGTGCAGGTGAGTCCTGGTGCAGGTGAGACCTGGTGCAGGTGATAACTGGTGCAAGTGATATCTGAAGGGGTACTACGACAAGACCATCTTCCACCGCATCATAGCTGGCTTCATGGTGCAGATGAGACCTGGTGCAGGTGATATTTGAAAGGGTACTACGACAAAACCATCTTTCACCGCATCATAATTGGCTTCATGGTGCAGGTGCGACCTGGTGCAGGTAGCACTCGGTGCAGGTGAGATTCGGTGCAGGTGAGATCTGGTGCAGGTTACACCTGGTATAGGTGAGATTTGGCCCAAGTAACACCACGTGCAAGCAAAACTGGTTCTGAAGTAGCTCACAACTCGTTACCCACCGCATGATCACGGGCTCATGGTGCAGGCGAATGAGATTCAGATTCAGCTGCGCCTTATTCATTCATCAACCTCATCCGCCTTTTGAGGCGCCTCAAAAGTCGGCTCACAACTCGTTTCCCACCGCATGATCAGATCATTGGCTCATGGTGCAGGCGAATGAGATTCAGATTCAGCTGCGCCTCATTCATCAACCTCATCCGCCGCTCCCTCTCCTCTCACATTCGAGGGTGGAGACGGAGAACTACTGACAGGATCAGGCACGGGGGTCGGGGTGAGTCCATCCACGGGGAGCCTGTCAAGGGCGAGTTCCTCTCACACCTGCGCCTCACCCTTTGCCAGTCCTTACGTTATCCACACGCATCTCCTCCCATGCTCCAGGGAGGCGGCCCTACAGGATCAGGCACGGGGGTCGGGGTGAGTCCATCCACGGGGAGCCTGTCAAGGGCGAGCTCCACTCGCGCCCCCGCTTCTGCCCTGGCTAGTTCATCTTACCTTCTCCACTCTCCATCTCCTCGCATTTGCAGGGAGGCGACCCAACCGGGTCCGGGACAGGGGGCGAGTCGATCTACGGCGAGCCGTTCAAGGACGAGGTCCACTCGCGCCTGCACTTCTCCCTAAGCTAGCTCTCTCTCTAATCTCACCCTCTTCTCCGCATCTCCTCCCACACCGCAGGGCGGGGACCCCACAGGATCCGGGACAGGGGGCGAGTCGATCTATGGAGAGCCTTTCAGGGACGAGTTCCATTCTCGCTTGCGCTTCTCCCACCGCGGCCTTGTGGCGTGTGCCAATGCGGGTGCGCCCCACAGCAACGGCAGCCAGTGGTTCTTCACTCTGGATCGCTGCGACTGGCTGGACAAGAAACATACTATCTTTGGCAAGGTGGGTGGGTCACCAGCTTTGGTAAGGTGTGCTGGTATGGCAGGCGTGTATGTGCAGGCATGATAGCACTGGTGCGTTGTGTTGAGGAGCCAATGTGGGCACGCCTCACAGCAACGGCAGCCAGTGGTTCTTCACCCTGGACCGGGGACAAGAAACACACTATCTCTGGCAAGGTGGGTGAACAGGCATGGTATGACAGGCATGTGTGGGCGGGTACGAGTGCTTGTGCATCGAGGCGCCAACGCAGGCATGCCCCACAGCAACGGCAGCCAGTGGTTCTTCACTCTGGACCGCTGCGACTGGCTGGACAAGGAACATCCTATATATGGCAAGGTGGGTGGGTGGGTTGCTGTTTCTAGCAAGGTGCGCTGGGCATGGCATGACTTGGCATGGCAGGGGTGTATGGGCAAGCAGGCATGCTTGTACTGGTGTGTTGAGGCGGCAACGCGGGCGTGCCCCACAGCAACGGCAGGTGGGTGCATGGCATGGCATGGCATGGCATGGCATGGTGGTATGGTATGGTATGGTATGGTATGGTATGGTATGGTATGGTATGGTATGGTATGGTATGCATGGACAGGGAGGCATGCATATGACTATCAGCAGGAGTTGGCCTGAGTCAGCATGAGTCAGCATGATTCAGCATGAGTCAGCCTGGGTCAGCATGAATCTACATGCGTCTGCAAGAGCAATTGTATGAGTCAGCGCCCTTAACCCTCCCTCCCCAACCCTCCGCAGCTCCCCCTGGCAGATCACAAGAGACAAGACGCCGCCTTCAATGTGGTGCAATTGGGGGTGGTGGATGGATAGTTTTTGAGGCATCTCAAAAACACCCTCTCTACACGTGCCCAACCCTCCCCTGCTCCGCCTGGCAGATCACAAGAGACACCATCTTAAATGTAGTGCGATTGGGGGTGGTGGATGGATAGTGACGCCAATCACAGACCCCTTTCCCCCCTTATTTTTCAAAATTTCCCCTCATTCCCCTGCCTCACACCTGGCAGATCACAGGAAACACCATCTTCAACGCGGTTCGACTGGGGGAGGGTGTTACTACTGATGGCTATGACAGACCTCTTTCCCCTGCTTCCCTCTTTGTTACTACTGTGTCCCTCTCCCTCCTCCCTCAACCCCCCCTCTTCACTCGCTCATTTTCACACACACCTGGCAGATCACAGGGGACACCATCTTCAATGCGGTGCGACTGGGGGAGGTGGATACTGATGAAAACGACAGGCCGTTTGACCCACCATCGATTATCAGCGTGGAGGTGAGTCAGCAAAAGCCAGCATGAGTCAGCATTAGTCAGCATGAGCCAGCATGAGTCGACATGATTCAGCATGAGTCAGCATGTGTGAGCTTGAGTCAACATGAGTCAACATGATTCAGCATGAGTCAGCATGAGCCAGCATGAATCAGCATCATGCGAGATGTGTCCCTGAAAGGCAGCTCGTGTGCAATGGAAAAGGTATCTTGTCTCATGGTGTACTGTCGTCTCTTTGCTAACTAACACGACCCATCCTACTGCTGCCATGCCCTTCTTCACGGGCAATGATCCTTGGGTATCCTGACTCATGAGCCCTAAACCCCTGCTTTGTTCTCAACGATGTGATGCAGCCCTCTCTTGATTGTCTCTGGCTGGACCTTGACCATTGTCTCAATCAACAACACATTGTCATCGCATCCTTTCTCAACAACCCGCCCTCCCTTTCTTGCATTGCAGGTCATTTGGAACCCATTCGAAGACACCGTTCCCAGGACACTGCCTGCAAGACAGCAGCAGATTGTCTCACACAACTCAAGGCACTGTCATCACACACCCTCTTTGAAAAACCCTCCCTCCCTTCCATTGCAGGTCATCTGGAACCCATTCGAAGACATCGTCCCCAGGACACTGCCTGCAAGACAGCAGCAAGAAACCATGGCGAAGAGCCGGGGCAGGGACAAAGAGAAGCGGCGGCAGCAGCAGTCTCAGGTCAAAGGAACCAAGTAAGCTGAGCGAAGCATTTGAATAGGCGCAAGCTGAGCGAAGCATTTGAATAGGCGCAAGCTGAGCGAAGCATTTGAATAGGCGCAAGCTGAGCGAAGCATTTGAATAGGCGCAAGCTGAGCGAAGCATTTGAATAGGCGCAAGCTGAGCGAAGCATTTGAATAGGCGCAAGCTGAGCGAAGCATTTGAATAGGCGCAAGCTGAGCGAAGCATTTGAATAGGCGCAAGCTGAGCGAAGCATTTGAATAGGCGCAAGCTGAGCGAAGCATTTGAATAGGCGCTTAGACCTGAATTGCAACCAGTGAGCACAATCTAGGGACAAGGTAGGGAGAAGAAGAAGCGGCGCAGCAGCAATCGCTCGCAGATCCAGGGAACCAAGTAATCTGTTGAGCTGCCTTTGTAGGCGATTTTTGAGGCGCCTCAAAAAGCTGCCTTTGTAGACGACCAAATAGACCAAATATTTCTGCCCTAACCAGTCAATGCCAAGACGAGCCAGGGCATGGACAAGGAGAAGCGGTGGCAGCAGCAGTCTCAGTCAAAGGAACCAAGTAAGCTGAGCGAAGCCAAGCGTTATGATGGTCCCGAAGTAAGGCATAAAAGTGCCAGGTAAACCAGGCATGTTGATGATACTCTTGGTCTTGGCCTGTTCTTGGCTGTGTTGTCGTTCTCTTAGCCAACTCGTACGTGTTTTCACGTTGCCATTGAACTGCCTGCTTCACCCCCTATTCTTGCTCACCAGGCAGTTGAATCTCCTGTCGTTTGGAGAGGAGGCGGAGGAGGAGGAGGCTCAACTGGAGGAAGCTAATTTGAGGATGAGGAGCAGTCACGATGTGCTCAAGGACCCTCGCCTGCTGGCTGTGAGCATTGGGAGGGGGTGTTTGGGAAAAAAGGGAGATGGAGGAGGGATAGGATGGGGAAGCGAGGGAGGAGGCGCAACTGGAAGAAGCGAATTTGAGAATGAGGAGCAGCCACGATGTGCTCAAGGACGCTTGCCTGCTGGCTGTGAGGGAATAGGGGATCATGGGAGGAGTGGAATTTAGGGGGTTTCAACTGGACGAGCTTCAGCTGGGGGAGGCTCAGCTGGGGGGAGGAGGCTCAGCTGGGGAAGGCTCAGCTGGGGGAGGCTAATCTGGGGATGTGAATCAGGCACGGCTTTGGAGACTTGAACTGGAGGTTATTGCTAGATTTTGTAGTCACTCAATTGATATATATTCCTGATTTAAGTCAAAATTCTCTCCCCTCAAACGGTCCTTGGTATTAATGCGGGTGTTAATCACTCTCCTCTCCTACCCAGGAAACAGCAGCAGCAGTTCAGAAGAAGCTGGCCAGACGGGGAGGTAAATCAGAGATTCTAAGGCTTCTCAGAATATATTTTCCCCAATATGTTCCTTTTCTCATTTTATTATCAGGAGACAGCAGAGGCTGTTCAGCAAAAGCTGGCCGGACGGGGAGGGGACGCAGAGGGGGAAGAGGAAGACGAGGAGAATGGGCGAAGAGAAGGGGGGAGAGAAAGGGAGAGGGGAGGGGGTAGAGAAAGGGAGATGCTTGTTAGAGGGAGAGATGGTGACAGACAAGGGGAGGGTGCTGACGGTGAGGGTGGGAGCAGGAGAGGCAGGAAAGGGGAAGAGACGGGTGGAAAGAGGGGGAATAAGGGCAGTTCAGTGGGTCCTGAGGAAGTAAGGGGGAGGGAGAGAGGAGGCAGGGAGGAGAGCGGAGGTGAGGGAGAGGGGGAAGGTGATGGTGAGGAAGCGAGTTTTGATGAGCTGATGAGGAGAAGGGTGTTGGAAAAACAAAGACGGTTTGGGAAGCATGGGGTTGCGAGTGAGGGGGGGCGGAGAGGGGAAAAAACAGGGAGAGGAGGAGTGGGAGATGGAGGGGAGAGGGAGGGGAAAGGTGCAGCGAGGATCCAGGATGGGGCTGGCACCAGGGAGCAGGCAAAAGGGGGACGAGCGAAGGAGGAACGAGGAAAAGGGGAGGAGGATGATGAGGATGGGAGTGGTGACAGTGATGGTAGTGATGGGAGTGATGATGAGGAGGGAGGGAGAGGAGGGAAGGGGAGGGTGAGGGTGGAGAAGCTGCGATTGAGGAAAGGGGCGAAGGGAGTGGGGAAGGGAGGAGGGGAGGGGGGAGGAGGGGGAGGTTCAGCGGGAGGGGGTTTGCTGGGGGAGGAGGAGGAGAGGCGGCAGCAGATGAGGCAGAGGAAACGAGCTCTGGGGTCCAGACAAGAGAAAGTGAGTGAGAGTGCTGAAGGGTTGGGCAGTATTTCTTAGGGTGCATGGAAGTTTGAATCGACTCAAAAAACGGTTTCCTGGGTCGCGTGGTTTGTGGTGGGAAGTCAGGCTGTCGTGGACTTGTGGCTTGTTTAGAGTCGACTCAATGTTTCGAGTCGACTCAAAACGTGGCTGGTGGGAAGTCAGGCTGTCGTGGACTTGTGGCTTGTTTAGAGTCGACTCAATGTTTCGAGTCGACTCAAAACGTGGCTGGTGGGAAGTCAGGCTGTCGTGGACTTGTGGCTTGTTTAGAGTCGACTCAATGTTTCGAGTCGACTCAAAACGTGGCTGGTGGGAAGTCAGGCTGTCGTGGACTTGTGGCGTGTTTAGAGTCGACTCAATGTTTCGAGTCGACTCAAAACGTGGCTGGTGGGAAGTCAGGCTGTCGTGGACTTGTGGCTTGTTTAGAGTCGACTCAATGTTTCGAGTCGACTCAAAACGTGGCTGGTGGGAAGTCAGGCTGTCGTGGACTTGTGGCGTGTTTAGAGTCGACTCAATGTTTCGAGTCGACTCAAAACGTGGCTGGTGGGAAGTCAGGCTGTCGTGGACTTGTGGCTTGTTTAGAGTCGACTCAATGTTTCGAGTCGACTCAAAACGTGGCTGGTGGGAAGTCAGGCTGTCGTGGACTTGTGGCTTGTTTAGAGTCGACTCAATGTTTCGAGTCGACTCAAAACGTGGCTGGTGGGAAGTCAGGCTGTCGTGGACTTGTGGCTTGTTTAGAGTCGACTCAATGTTTCGAGTCGACTCAAAACGTGGCTGGTGGGAAGTCAGGCTGTCGTGGACTTGTGGCTTGTTTAGAGTCGACTCAATGTTTCGAGTCGACTCAAAACGTGGCTGGTGGGAAGTCAGGCTGTCGTGGACTTGTGGCTTGTTTAGAGTCGACTCAATGTTTCGAGTCGACTCAAAACGTGGCTGGTGGGAAGTCAGGCTGTCGTGGACTTGTGGCTTGTTTAGAGTCGACTCAATGTTTCGAGTCGACTCAAAACGTGGCTGGTGGGAAGTCAGGCTGTCGTGGACTTGTGGCTTGTTTAGAGTCGACTCAATGTTTCGAGTCGACTCAAAACGTGGCTGGTGGGAAGTCAGGCTGTCGTGGACTTGTGGCTTGTTTAGAGTCGACTCAATGTTTCGAGTCGACTCAAAACGTGGCTGGTGGGAAGTCAGGCTGTCGTGGACTTGTGGCTTGTTTAGAGTCGACTCAATGTTTCGAGTCGACTCAAAACGTGGCTGGTGGGAAGTCAGGCTGTCGTGGACTTGTGGCGTGTTTAGAGTCGACTCAATGTTTCGAGTCGACTCAAAACGTGGCTGGTGGGAAGTCAGGCTGTCGTGGACTTGTGGCTTGTTTAGAGTCGACTCAATGTTTCGAGTCGACTCAAAACGTGGCTGGTGGGAAGTCAGGCTGTCGTGGACTTGTGGCTTGTTTAGAGTCGACTCAATGTTTCGAGTCGACTCAAAACGTGGCTGGTGGGAAGTCAGGCTGTCGTGGACTTGTGGCTTGTTTAGAGTCGACTCAATGTTTCGAGTCGACTCAAAACGTGGCTGGTGGGAAGTCAGGCTGTCGTGGACTTGTGGCTTGTTTAGAGTCGACTCAATGTTTCGAGTCGACTCAAAACGTGGCTGGTGGGAAGTCAGGCTGTCGTGGACTTGTGGCTTGTTTAGAGTCGACTCAATGTTTCGAGTCGACTCAAAACGTGGCTGGTGGGAAGTCAGGCTGTCGTGGACTTGTGGCTTGTTTAGAGTCGACTCAATGTTTCGAGTCGACTCAAAACGTGGCTGGTGGGAAGTCAGGCTGTCGTGGACTTGTGGCTTGTTTAGAGTCGACTCAATGTTTCGAGTCGACTCAAAACGTGGCTGGTGGGAAGTCAGGCTGTCGTGGACTTGTGGCTTGTTTAGAGTCGACTCAATGTTTCGAGTCGACTCAAAACGTGGCTGGTGGGAAGTCAGGCTGTCGTGGACTTGTGGCTTGTTTAGAGTCGACTCAATGTTTCGAGTCGACTCAAAACGTGGCTGGTGGGAAGTCAGGCTGTCGTGGACTTGTGGCTTGTTTAGAGTCGACTCAATGTTTCGAGTCGACTCAAAACGTGGCTGGTGGGAAGTCAGGCTGTCGTGGACTTGTGGCTTGTTTAGAGTCGACTCAATGTTTCGAGTCGACTCAAAACGTGGCTGGTGGGAAGTCAGGCTGTCGTGGACTTGTGGCTTGTTTAGAGTCGACTCAATGTTTCGAGTCGACTCAAAACGTGGCTGGTGGGAAGTCAGGCTGTCGTGGACTTGTGGCTTGTTTAGAGTCGACTCAATGTTTCGAGTCGACTCAAAACGTGGCTGGTGGGAAGTCAGGCTGTCGTGGACTTGTGGCTTGTTTAGAGTCGACTCAATGTTTCGAGTCGACTCAAAACGTGGCTGGTGGGAAGTCAGGCTGTCGTGGACTTGTGGCTTGTTTAGAGTCGACTCAATGTTTCGAGTCGACTCAAATGGCGTTAGACCGAGATGGATTGCCCCCGGTGCATTTATGAGTTGACTTTTGAGTCGAGTTCACTTTTGAGGCGAGTCAAAGTTGACTTTTGACTTTTGAGTCGAGTCAAAAGTTGACTTTTGACTTTTGAGTCGACTCAATAGTCAACCCGAGATGGATTGTCCCCGGAGCATTTATGTTATTACAACGGTCACAAAGTTGTGATTCGACGTTTCAGAATTAGCTTTGCGTTAGTATAACCTTTTTTGTCTTTTGTTATTGCTGAACTCCGTATACGAACAGAGTGCTGTGATAAAGGTAGTGTTTTGAGACGTCTCAAAACACTACTTTTACCATGTGGCTTTGCATTAGTTTGACCTTTTTTTTCTACTGTTATTGCTGAACTTCGTATACGAACAGAGTGCCTGGATCTTAGAGCTGCATGCTCGTTGGCCTTTTGGAATTTCATTTCGCCATTCCGTTTCCTCTCCATTGTCCCTCCCTCTTCCCTGGCTCGACCCTCCTTCATCCCTCCCTCATCCCTCCCCCAGACGCTTGAGCTTGTGAACCGCTTCAAGTCCAAGCTAGCGGCTTCCAAGACAGTGCAGCCGAGAGAAAGGCAAACTTCCCAGTATTGCAACGCCTCACAACCCCGCCCCACCCCCTCCCCACCACACCCCACCCCTTTCCTTCCCCGTCCCTCCCTCCCTTGCCCCTCCTTTGTCCCTCTCCCAGACGCTTGAGCTTCTGAACCGCTTCAAGTCCAAGCTAGCGGCTTCCAAGACAGTGCACCCAAGAAAAGCACGCACTGCCCAGTATTGCGAAGCCTCACAACCCCGCCCCACCCCTGCCCCCTCTCCTTCCTTCCCCGTCCCTCCCTCCCCCTCCCCCAGACGCTTGAGCTTCTGAACCGCTTCAAGTCCAAGCTAGCAGCTTCCAAAACAGTGCAGCCGAGAGAAACACGCACGGACGAAGACAAGGAGGAGGGTGCAGATGAGGGGAGAGCGGACAGAAGAGATAGGGAGAGGGAAGGAGAGAGAGGCAGGGACGGGAGAAACAGCAGCAAGGAGGGCAGCAGAAAGCGAGGGTTTGTTGGTTCAGAGGGGAAGGGACCGGGAGCGGCGGCATATGGGCCGGGGGGGAAGGCGAGGCAGGATGTGGGAGGGGATGGAGAGGAGGAGGACGAGGAGGGTGGGGGCGTTGATTGGATGGCTCACCGGCTGAAGTTTGAAGTGAAGAGGAACAAACGGGTGAGTTGTGGGGGGTGGGTGAGTATAGGGATTGGGGGGGAGATGCTTTCCTCCTCCCCATTCGCGATGAGATGACGACCGGGATCAGTACGCGGTGCACGTCCTTTGAGGCACCTCAAAAGGGATCAGTACGCGGTGCACGTCCCTCTGCTGGATGAACCCACGCCTTCTCACTCGTGCCTGTTTCCGCTACTCCTTTGCCTTCTCTGCCTCTCCTACGTCCTGTGCATGCCCCTTCTCCATCCCCATCAGGACGAGATGCTTCGCAATGACGACCCGGATCAGTACGCGGTGCACGATCCGCTGCTGGAGAAGGGAAAGGAGAAGTTCAACAAGATGCAGGCCAGGATGAAGAAGAGAAACCGAGAGTGGGCGGGCCGGTCGCTGGACTGATTTGGATCGGTACGGAGGATGTTTGAAAGAGTTTGACTGGGTGTTGGCGATCAGTACGTTACGCGGTGGATGACCCTCTGTAGGAGAAGGGCAAGGAGAAGTTCAACAAGATGCAGGCCAAGATGAAGAAGAGAAACAGGGAGCGGGCTGGCCGGTCGCTGGACTGATGGAATGAGGGTATCCCAAATGCCGACATCAATCACAGAATTTTAGAAAGCTTGCTTTCTTGTTGTAGCAATGGCATCGTCTCATTTCAAATGGCAAAGTACAGACATGTCCAAGCTAGCATGCAATTATTCTAAAGCAATCAACTATCCATAATTGGTCCCAGTTCTACGGGGTGGGTGGGCGGGAAACTAGGCTAAGCCGTTTGAAAATGAAAGACGTGGGTGGAGGGAAATGACCTCCAGCCCACGTTTTGTACTCCAAAACGGGCATTTAGCGCGGTTCGCCGATGACCATTGCTACATTACAAGCCGCTTCGCTTTCAAAATACAAAATTTTGAAAAGCGTTACAACTTTTAAAAATATTCATATTTTAGAAAGCTTGCTTTCTTGTTGTAGCAATGGCATCGTCTCATTTCAAATGGGTCTTCTGAGACATGTGTCTTGTTGGACGCCGTTGGCTCGCCACTGTCGTGGCGTGTTGAGCGGGGGAGAGGGCTCGTGCTGGGTCTTGAACTTGCTTCGAAGCCCCCACCAGTTGGTCTGCGGCAGGCGTGATGTACGTCTCCTTGGCGGTGTCGCTGCTCCACCTTCCTAGTCGCTTCAGGATGCGGTCTGATATTCCGGCGTTGGCTGCGACAGTTGCTGCACCTTTCCGAAAAGAGTGGGTGCCGAGATGCTCGAAACTAAGACCGATTTTGTTGAAGGCCTCTTTGCACCAGTTGCGGATTGTGGTGTAGGATGGCGACTTGGCGGCACCGTTTTTCCCACCCTCTGTTCCAAAGACGCGGATGAGTGGGCCTTGTTGCGATTGATCGTATCGTGCTAGGTGTATGAATCGTTTGGTGCACCGAAGTGGGCAGAAGGGGCCAGGGCTTGCCGCTACCGGGACCCATGTGCCTTCTCCTGCCTGATCCGTCTTGGAACGGGGTATTAGTAACCACATGGCTTCCGGCTCGAAATGAATCTCATGCCAGTTGATGACTGCAAGGTCGGAGTAGCGCAGAAACCCGGCGTACATTATGATCGGTATTAGCCCCTTCTGAAATTCGCGAGGGTTGTCTGACTGTAGAAATTCTGATGCCATCGCGTGGACTTGATGAAGCGACACGGGTTCTTTGGCCCGGGTAGGGTGCGGACATCACTTCTTCGCAAAATCTCTGACTTGAGAGGTGAATGCGCCGATGGACGGGCATGATGCCCCGATCGACCGATGCGGGAAGCTGACTGCAGAGCATGTCAACTGAATTGCAGACACCGTAGCCTTGTGTTGAATGGCGTGGACCAGGTACAGCGCGAGCGTCATGTCAGTGCATGGGAGGAACTTGAGCTTGTGGTGTTGGCAAAAGGAGCGGAACTTGACCCAGTAGGGCTCGTATGTACGGATTGTGGAGTCGGCCCGCATTTGCGTCGTTATCTCTAGTAGGCGATGCTTGAGTTTTTCCAGCAATCCTGCATCGTGTGCAAAAGCAGTTAGCAGGTGAATGACACGCGTAGTGCGACCATAGGACTACACGGCAAACCGTCGCTGGAGAAGGCGCTGGAGTGATTGCCTGCCATCAGGCACTGGCTACCGTGCGTGAGGTGGAGGTGGGTGTGAATGTAGGTGGCCCATTGAGGAGGGGAGGGTTGCAGTAGGGGCCACCAACTTGCGCCAGGCCAGTAAGGCGTGACGAGAGTGATGGCGGCGCGAGTTCGTTTCGCGTGGTGGAGCACTGCTGGGATTAAGTGCGGTGGAGGGAATGCGTATCCCTGCTCGGAGGTCCATGGGATCGAGAATGCGTCAACTGCCGCTGCGTCTGGGTGCGGTGTTTTGGAGCAGAACCGAGGTAGCTTGGTATTGCTCCCATTTGCGAATAGATCGATTGAGTGCGGGCCCAGGCGGCGCTCGATGAGCCGGAACCAAGGTGTCTTTAGTGAGTAGTCGTCACGATCGAGCGCCTTGGAGAGTTCATCCGCCCGTGTGTTTAGTTCGCGCGGGATCCATTCGACCACGAGCCGAATCCGAAAAGTCATGCATGTCTGGATGATCGACTTGCACGTCGCTGTAAGGTTGGTCTGCCTTGAACCACCTTTCCGAAGGATGAAGAAAACGCCTTGGTTATCGGTCCTTGCGAGGACGTGCTGATCGCGGATTCTTTCTGAAAACGTTTGGAGTGCCCATAGAACGCCATCTATCTCTCGCTGCGTGCTGGATGCCTCTAGCAGATGCTTCGGCATTGCCGCACTTGCCTCGATACGCCGTCCTGGGAACTTGTCCAACGTCGCTCCCCAACTGTGTGCGCTGGCATCCACATGGATGACGGCATCGTAGCTGTTGAGGACGTGAAATGGGGCGCCGTTGAATTTGTCGAACTCGTGGCGCCAAAAGTCCAGTTCTTCAATCGCCATAGGGTCCAGCAGCACTTTACTATTCCATGATGGTGCCTGCTGGATTGCCTGCAGCAGGCCTTGACTGAACGCTCGTGTCGTCGCCCCAAGAGCCAGTGACATGGATGCCAGCATGCCGGTGACTCTGGCGATGTGACGGACTGGGACCTTGCGTTCTGCCTTTCCTTCCCTCAGAAGGACTTGGAGGGTGGAGAGTAGTGAGGCTCGACGTTCAGCGCCGATAGAGAACTGACCACGGTCAGTGTCTAACTCGACGCCCAGGAAACGCAACTGCTGGGTCGGTTGTAGATGCGACTTTTTCGAGTTGATCACAAGCCCTGCCTTGTTGAGGTCATGTATGATTGATTGACATGTGGCTCGTGCTTTCGCTTCCGTGTCACAAAGGAAGAGGATGTCGTCGACATAAGGAATGACCCGTATGCCCATGGCTCGCCAGCGCCGAGCGAGTTGTTTGATCAGTTGTGTAAAACGAATGGGGCCGTCGCGAGGCCGAACGGGAGCGAGCGGAATATGTATGTCTTTCCGTCAAATCGAAATCCCAGGTACTTCCAACACGATGGGTGAATATCCACGTGGTGATACCCAGACTTTAGGTCGATAGAGAACATCCAGTCGCCCACGCGAGCGATCTCCGCAACCCGATTGAGCCCCTCGTACTTGAATTTTGGAATGCGCAGGTGCAGGTTCACTTGGCGGAGGTCGAGGATCAGTCGGCATTTCTCTCTTTGGACCACCACGTTCAGTGGGCTAATGCATACGGTCTGAGCCGCGGGGGCAAGAGCAGCTGCGCCGCTTTCTAGGAGCTCGCTAATAGCCTGTTTGGTAAACTGGGCGTGGATCTGTGCGCCCGCGTGATTGTCGCGCTGGAACGGCGCTGGGGGGATGAGTTCCCACGGCATCCAGTAACCGTGAAGTATCACTGAGAGTATGAAGCTGCTGTCGCACCATGAGCTCCACCATGGGAATGCCAAGCGTAGCCGACCGCACATCTTTGTGACGAGCTTATCTGTGATCGCGTACTCGTAGGGGATGTGTCGCTCGCCCATCCCGCCATCCGGTGGATCTGTGCAACGGGTCGCAAAAAGGGCACAGGCTGTGAAGACATTTTTTTTTTTTTTTTTTTTTTTTTTTGCATCAGCTCTAGTTGCTATTAATACGAGTGCATGTACTAGCGAACAACGGGGCAGTGTATGGCCGAACCCTCACGAGGTAGGCCATTTACCCACCCTTCCCCTTCTCTTTCATATTGATACGTTCACCTCTCTCTCCCTTGTTGTTGTTGTTGTTGTTGTTTTTTTTTTGTTTTTTTTTTTTTTTTTTTTTTTTTTTTTTTTTTTTTTTTTTTTTTTTTTTTTTGTCTTTCAACGCCTAATATACACGTCCTTAGGCTTGCCGTATGTGCACCCGAGGGCTCTCGATGTTCGACGAGCTCGGGGTGGGCTGCCGGATTGTGCTTTGCACATTTTTTATGATAACGTGCCTTGTCTCGTGGGCTCTTTGCCCATCGTGTCAATTGCGCGTAGTAATATGCTTCGTATGCCCTCCTTGTGCGCTTGTCGCGCAAGTGGCCCTCTCGTGTCCCGTTAAATTGGGCTGGTGCTGGCCAAATAGTGTGGCCTCCTTAAGAGTCAACATCTTCATCATCTCACACTTCTCCTTGTCTTTCGTTCTTTCTCCTCTTCTCCCCCCCCCCCCCTTTTTTTTTTTTTTTTTTTTTTAGTACCTCAACCGCTTAGGCCTTACTCTCCGAGGGCTGCTCGCTTCAATAATCCAGGTTCCAATATTTTAAATTTCATTCATTAAGCCACACATCAACGATTGTCCACATGACTTGCCACTCCGGCCCATATTTCATGCTTTAACACGCATACAACTCATGATTGCCACCCATGGCTAAGTCCTAGGACTCCTAGTCCTACTCCCTTCCCTAGAGGTCGGCCGGCGGCCATTCTACTCGCCCCGCAGGGTCTGGCCAGCGGCCTAAGCACACCACGTTGCCCATGCAACGTGCTCTCGGCGCCCCAAGTGGTTTCCCTCTCATAGGGTCACACCACCGGCGCGGGTCCTTGGGCCCCTCGCCCATTATCGGGGCACATATTGGCCATGTGGCCGGGCTGTCCGCACTTGAAGCAGGTTCCACGAAAGCTCCTGATGTTGTTGTCCATTGGTGGACCACGTTTGTTGCCAAATGCACCGGTTCCTCGCCCTCCACCTCGTGCGGCGCGGCCGGGGTTGCCTTGGGCGCGTTCCATGGCCGCAACGTCCGCCATGGCTTGCTTGAATGGGCGCGAGGTGAACAAGCTCTTCTCTTCATACATCTTGAACTGGTTAGCGACGCGGAAATTCGTGTAATCGGCGACGTGGAGAAGCTTGAAACGATTATTGACGAGCGAGAGCGCCTCCTCGAGGAGTTCGATGGCGCTTGCCGGTTCGTTGAGCCGCAC